AGTCAGAGTGTATAGAGGAACACCTTAGGTCAGCGTGACTATGGGAATTTGGAGTCTCCTTTCAAGCCTCCTCTGACTCGTTAAAGGGTCTCAGTTGAGGTTCAGGGCTGCAGGTAAGATTGTCGCCATCCCAACGGGATCTGAGGTAGTAAGTAACTTCACTTGAAAGCAGCTGTTCCCTGGGCGGTATGAAGGAGTGAGATGACGGTTAAGGATCTATTTGGGGGAGAGGGGGGCGGGAAAGTTCAGAAGGTGAATGCGAAGATGGAGATTGAATTTAAGCTAGTGTTAGCTCCAAGCATAATCTGACCTTGTTTTTACCTGTACGTCGCACTGAACTCACACGGATGGCGTAGAACAGGGTAGCTTACTTCTTGGGCGATCCTCCCTATTCACCACTTACTCTTTTCTTTTGTTTCAGTGCTGGCCGACACAAAAATCCATTTGTTAGGAGCGTTTCAAAATCTGAAACTTGCACGAAATGCCATATCCAGTCTTATTTTGGGTTCGTTGTTTTTCTGGCTTTATTCGAAGATTTGTTAGAGCTGCTTCGTAGCAACGAAGGTCGATATCTTTCAGGGGCGCCGCCATCAAAAGTCTATGGGAATCTGCGTAATTTGGCGTCCCGTTCCAGTGAACGGCTATAAATTTCTGGCAACGCCGCGTTCGGATCGTACAGCGGTTGCTCTGATTCGTTATACTTCCTTGTTCTTGTTGGGAAACTTGTTAAGAGAGATGACTTCAATATTCAGAGAAATATGTTGTTGAGTTATGCAGTATTGTTGATCGAAAAATGATTGTTTGGTAGGGACAATACCAATAAAAAGTCTAAAGACAACACTTTTATTATTACATGAATTCATTGCTACAAAAGATCACCGGTACAGATGTGTACGAGAACAAATACGCACGAATAGTGCGCGTTTGATTGCGATCTGAAAAGATCTGAAAAGCCACTGAGAACGATCGATAATTGATCGTATTGAAATCCGTAGTACATTGGAAAAAGAGGAATGAGAACAATACATTTTGAAAAGAATATAGAAAGAAAACAGAACGTAAAGAATTAACAAATTAGCGACGATCGTAATCGTCGTATGCCGTAATATTAGGGATTGCATCCCACCCGGAGAGATGCTTAAAAGGAAACAATCATGGGCGGTATGTGCTTTCGGAGGGGCCAGTCTCCAGCGAAGCTCAGCCGCGTCACTTTGCCTATGTGGGAGGATACAGTAAGAAACTGGTGTCTTTTGATGTGGTAAAGGCACGTCTGCTGCTTGTTTAGGTGCACCCTGTATCCTAGAGAAGGGTCGCAATTGCGGATTCAGTCAGAGTCGGTCGCACATGACAGCGGTATCGAGGGTTTCTGCTCCTTTCTAGCATTATTCGACTCCCTTGGGCTTCAGTTTCATTAGGTGGCTGTCATTAGGTTCCAAATGCAAACAGCAATCATTTCGTTGGCAGAAGCCACCATTTTCTCTCAGGACCACTGCCGCGCGGTTCGCTAAGTACGCCATTACACCAATATATCCCCTGAATACAGAGTGTAGGAAAGTGCAGTAAGAGAGCGACAAGTTCTGACATTGACCAAGCCATGCCACACTATTTCAGTGGGAGGGTGCAGACTAGTAGGCATGACGCAGCTTGAAAGCCTTGCTGGAGAGTGGGCCAGCCTGAGGCACGTAGCACCCAGCTAAGAAGAAACAGTACAATTACAGTCCATAGGACAGGAATCAAGAACTTCTTGGGTACAACCTGAGTGCACCAACACCACCATGACAATCAGAATTGGTATAACTATAAGCGAAGAGAGGCAACTGGATACCAGCAATAGTAGGCATGATAGTTTCAGATGGGTTTGCCTGAGTAGATGTCAGGACCAATGTGAGTGAGGACTACGTGAAGCTGAGGAGCCGTGTTCGTGCCATGTCATCAGCACCAGTGGTAAGGTTGTGAAATGAGCATGAGAATTCGTAGGAGAAGAAAATTGAGTAGATTCAAACGAGTGGGAGGCGGGAGATTTGGATGGATCCCAAGCATTCTCGAGTATTGCACTACTTCGATTACTGTCAGGATCAGTGTGGGGTGTAACACTCGTGTCTGTGCCTTACAAGGAGGATTTTCAGCCATGGAGCAGTTTTTCAAAACCGTTTGTTTCGAGTTGTAGGGCTATACACGTAGAACGCACTAGTGCAATTCTTTTCCTGCGCTCTTCCAAGGATGCCAAGGGGGGGGGGCTGGCAAAAGTTCCGGGAGTTCATGACGAGGTCAGCGATAGCGTTTTTGTTTTCTGACCAAGAGGTAGGTTGTTTTTTTTTGCTCCAGCAGAAGGTTCAGACATATTTGTTCACAAGAAAATAAAAAAATCAGGATTACAAAATTCTTGTCGCGATGGGGATCGGAACAATCGCGCTGTTGTTCCCAGAAGCACGCAGGAGAAATGAACTTCATCTCTTCGACTCATGTATGCCCTCAAAAACTTGCAGTGTTTGAGAAGGTACATCGTACGCTGGGGATCGCAGTGAGTGAAGAGAGGGAGTCGTAGGTGGGGTTGCTGGAGGGGGAGGCCAATTCAAGAATGTTTTTGACCGTTGATTTATCCCAGTTTTCCCGGTTCATATGCGTATATATCCTATCCTCCCCCTCCCCCTCACACACACTCTCTCGAGGAAGGTGTTCTGGGGAAAAAGTGCTTGGAAGAACTGAGAGAATTCGGAAAGATGGTAGGAAGGATTAGGCGACGAGGAAGGGGTCGTACCATAGGAGGAAGTTTCGAGAGAGGTCGTATTTGCAAAAACTTTCTTCAACGGCAGGACGTGCTCTGATCCGAAAAAAGCGCTCCTTGACCTGAAGAATCCCCTTGGTAGTACGGTTAACACTGGTACACGAGCTTACTCATGACTTGGTTCTTTCATGGTCTAAGCTGCAGATAAAACCCCTCATGGTTCTCACATTAATTTATCCCAATGCCCTAGATGACGTTAGTAATATCTACGGCGTAGCGGTGATCCATGCTTATCGGGAAATCTAAAACCTGTAGGGAAACGTCGTGGGAAGGGGTAGGAGGTGGATAGGGGGAGAGTTTGCCATTTGTTTTGGACACACCACTACCACACAGATTCCTCAGCTTCCTTTGGAAGAATACCACCTGAAATGTATGACACATAGGGGAGCATTGATGCTAGCAGTGACATGATTAAATAGAACTGTGAACAAGTGTACATACAGTCTAGTTCATGCAAGGAAACGTGCTCATCGGGAGAGTCATTTGCTCGTAACTGGGAGGTTTTTAAATCCGCAATGGGGTGCTGTTCCTTTCTCTCTGTGCTCGTCCCGAATGATCCACGATACCTTGGAATAGACTGCATAAAAAGTGTAAGTGACTAGTGCTGTTGCTGTGCGAGTTGATGGAAGATACTGAAGAACGGTAGCGGTAAGATGAATGGGTTCGGCATTGTTGGGATGAGATGTACCGCTGGTTGCGGCATTACCATAGCAATCGGAGCGGCAATAGGTGGTGTGAGCGGTGGCGGAACAGCACAAGGATAGACTGCAACCGGGTGTGGGAGTTCTGCTGCAATGTGTGGTGAAGGCGAGACCTCAGACGATGACGGTTCTGGAAATGTTCACATAAGTCAATAAAAGCTGAAAATGGAACGTTCACTATCTCCCAATCGTACGGTGGCTTATGTGACCGCCGCCATGAAATCAATTCATCAAGTCGGCATGAATGCTATGGCGGCAACGGTGAAAATGAAGCATTTAATGCACGAAATTTGTATGAAAGCCTATCAGGGTGACACATACCGTCTCCCGAAAGGAAATCACTATTCCGCCGTGAAATTCTACAGAAGCGGTTCCATTATTCTCCATCTATTCGAACGCAGATTTCAACAGACACGGTCTTGAAGAAAAGAATATTTGTGCCGAGCCCCTTTGTAACTTTTTTGGATGCAGATCTTTTCTGAATGGCCCGTTGGGCTTCATACCTGGCTGAGAAAGTAGTCAGCATTACAGATAAAGTGCCTCCAAGGCTGAAGCAACTTCTGAACCCTCCGTTTCAAAAACCCGTTTCTTCTGCCATTCACCCCTCTGTGGATTTGTTCCGCGTGAAATCTTGGCAAACAGATTCCTATAGCTGTTAGACAGAAGGAGCGGTGAAACAAGGACCCGGTAAGGGACGCAAAGAGCCATTTCAAAATTTTCCAAATTCCCCTGTTCATTTTAAGCCCTTACGGAGTACTGAAATCTCTAGAAAGCACCCTTGTGGGACTCTCCCACTAGTTCAGGTCCTAGCTCAGGCGTTGCTGCTCAACCAGAGCCACATGCTTGGATGTGGCGAGGGAATATACGACCAGAGTTTTCCTTGGCGTTATAACCCCTTTCGGGATGATCGCTAACGAAGAGGAGCATAGTATTGAAGTAAGCTGATAAAGTAGCTTTGAGTAGAGTAAGAACCGATGAACCCTTTTTTGTACCAGGTCGACTCTAAGTGTAGTGGTAGGCACTTTAATGCGCGATCTCAACTATATCAACTACCGATCCCATTCGTTGGGAGTGGGGAGCGGTGCGGTGGGGATATCACCGAGTCTGGAAACCTTGCGGGGGGGGGAGAGCGGAACGAACACTTGTGTGTTCAGTACTGGAACCGTGAATAAGCTACAATTACTAGAGGTGACCCATGTCCGCCCTCATCGGAGGAGAAGCCCATAGAGCTAGGTGATCAATATGAACGGGGGCACATCCAGTCGGTTAGCATCTGTACAGTGAAGCTGAATTCGTAGGTAAAAACTAACAGAACCAAGCCGAGGTCATCTTAGATCATTAGTTTTATGCATCTCTGCTTTTTTCCGTAAAGCAAGTGGGTCACTAGGGCTCATTCCGTTAGCGATTATTGTCATGAACTTCCAGTCTTTGACGGCAGCGTTCTCATTTGTAAATGCTGGTCAAACCACCATCTGAGGACCGTTTCCCAAATAACTGAAGTGAATGAGCACTGATTCCTCAACCATTGTTATCTCCCAGGTTGATACGTAGCGAATGCTGAACTAAACCTATAGGGAAAACATCATGAGAGGCAACGGGTCAGAAAGTGGAACAGGTGGGAGGTCTGCTTCCTTGAAAGCAATCACCATTGCACATTGTTGAGTCACGCACAAGTTTGCAAGGTTTTGGAACAAAAGTGTTGTCGTAGCTATCCCAAATTAAAGCTACCGCCGTAATGCGCTCAATATACCCCCCCCCCCATTTTCGATGATATCATTTGCTCAAGATGTCACAGTCATCTCATTACATCGTCAGCAAGCAGTCCGAATGTAGCCCTACCGCTACTACCAGGTATGGTGGCACTCACCGGTTAAGTCATGCTCGCCAGTGCTATCCGAACTGTGCCGATCATCCATGTTGTTCCTCTGCCGTTGTTGATCACGTCGCAGTTTTATCTGTTTTGCCATCAGGGAACGCCGATCTTCAACGAGTTCGCACTGCAAAAGTACCATACTAAATCACTTTGTTACAGTTTGACACTCCTCAGTGAATAGACTGGCAGCGTAATAATTTCCATACAAGGAACCATAAAATATTTGATGACCTCTCCGATATTACAGGCGTAGGGCTGTTCAGTCGGAGGAGAAATCGCATCGCTGAGAGGAAAGCTGTTCCTCTTTTTTTGTTGCTCATAAGGTGGTGGCCCTCCTTATCTTTATGGGATTTCTGAAAAACGCCCTCGATAACGAGTTTCGAGAAGAAGCTTTTGCAGCACACGTTTCTCAGTGTTGTCCAATGAGATCTTCCAGAGTCCACATTAACAGGATCATGTGGGACCAGGGAGATTCTGTGGAAGTTTTAGCATGATCGAATGTGGTAAGAAAACGCGTTACTCGTTTGAAATACCACCAACGACGACGACGACCTTCAATCGTCTTCGTGGAAACGAGAACGAGCTCATTTTCCCAGAATTTATGAGCCCTCAGACCCACATGTCGCATGTGATTTTCCACAGATTTCCTTATTCTTTGAACCACCTATGGACGAACCCCTAGAAGGGACCTCCGCGGGACCTTCCTGCAAAGGTAATTTGATTGAAGTATTCGGTTATATGTGTGGTTGGAAATATTCCCTGAAAACTGCGGTTAACCATTATTTTATGAATACGGATCGCCATAAGGAACAAAAAGGTTGAGCCGAATAAAACAATGACAAATTCTTCAATCAGATACTCGGTAATCAGATGAAATTAAGCAAGAAACGAACATGGGTGTATTCGTGGTTCAGTCTGGCCATGCATAAAAATAATATAATTGAATTAGAGGACTGGAGAGAGCGATCTTCGTTTCGATAGGGCTGAGGAAAGTACACGATTTGAAAAAGTGGCTCCGTTGAGTCCAAAACGGGATCAGGCAGAACATCGGAACAGATCAATCTAGACCGAAAGATACGGGCAGTGCAGCTCGACGAGGGGGGGGGCATTTTGCACTTTGCTGCTTCCCATGGACGTGACGACCCATCTAAAGAGCTATCCATGAGCTTACAAGAGTTAACAGGTTCCAACGTGGTGGCCCTACGAGTCTGCTCCGGCTTCACTTCGAATTCAGGTTTCACCAGAGTGGGACTTGTAAATCAGAACCGGCGAAGCAGCAGGAGTGCAAAATGCCCCCACCCCTCCAGTCGCCAAATTGCGCCAGAAAGATAACTATCGATTTTCGTCGATCAAGGAATTTGATTGTTAATATGGTAGCTTCACCACTCGTTCATATTCTTCAAGTTTCGTATTCCAGCCGCGGGTACATGTCGTGGAAGCGCTTAGCTTACGGAGTAAGTCATTCTTAATACTGGACATGGATCAAGCACGAGTTATGCCTACTGAGCTCGTTACTGCACAGTAAATTCGAAGGCATTAAATCGTCAGGCATTGCGAGGTAAGGCAGGAAATCGTTAGGCCCTGTGAGGTCTCCGCTCTCAAATATACCTCTAGCGCTTAGCGCTCCTATTGCATGAAATCAAAACTCTAGTACACTAGCCCTGGCTGCGGAATCCTGCCATATTCTGTGAGAAAGTCTTTATGCGTCTGCCATACAGCCAAATTTTTGCACTTTAATCTTTATTCGCTCAACTTAAAATACTTGCTGTTCTTCCATAATATCGACAAAGCTCACTCAAGGACCATCATAACCAGCGCACGCACTGCTGCCAGGAAGAATTTTTGGGAAATACACCCCCTCCTAGGTGTTCTTGTCTTATACGACCCCTCTCCACTTCCACATCCCCAATCTTCCGAACGTCCTACCACTTCTTTGAGATCTCAGTAAGGAACAAACAATTCTCCACTTCCCCCTCCCTTTCCGCTCAGAAAATGACCGCCGTCGAGCGGGGAAAAAGGGTGGGGGGAGCATACAGTAGCACACCTGTAGCAGGAAAAGACCAGGAAAAGTCGGCAAGCAAAAATATTTTTCATAAAAGCAAATAGGAATACGACAGTCCTCCCTCTAGCGGACAAATACGACCCTTCCCCCTGCTTGGGGATCTCCAACCTTCAACGTGCCCTGCTCA